ATGATTAAAGCAGATTTTCGTCCAGTCACAATGGGGGCCATTTTGTCATCGGAAAAGAGGATAAAGGCGGAACGAATTAAACGGGAAACCCTGGACCACCAGCTGCAAAAGTTGCAGCGCAGCTTGCATGTAACAGCCGTATCTCATTACATCGCCTCAGAGTATTATCGCCGCTTAGACTCTAAGCTTCAATATGCGTCCGCTTTTACCGGCGCCATTGGCAGTACAACAAGCGTCGCGTCGAAGCTTGGGTGGAAATTAATGGTATCAAGCAGTCCTCGTCTCGCACCCGTATTGGTTGCTGTCTCCACGACCTCGCTGCTTTTTACAGCCTTGGTTCATCTGCCGCAGATTAATAATACGCCGGGTAATATGTACAAGGCGCACTTTCAGTCTGGGATAGAGTGTCAGTATCTCCAAAAACAAGTGAAGTTCTTGAGGAAGACAGCGGTCTGGGATGCAAGCGTGCCCTGGGAAACACTCGCGAATCAGTACAGTGAGCTACTCTTGGAAAAGAAACGAGTAAACACTAGGATACAAAGTGAAAATTGGTCTTATCGTAAAGCTTTGAACAAGATCGACAACAGGAAGGAAGAAAAAAAGCGGAAGGAAAATGAAATAAGAAAAGATTGATGCATCCACTAACAGCTTTTATGAGCTTGACATATAGTTTCCATTTTTTCAGTTTTGACCTCAGTTGTTCAAAAGCTGGATAACGCTATACACCAGATAAATCTCTATACAGAGGATATGTATTACGGAAACCAATAGACCTATTCAGTCGGCTAACTCAATGTTGTACCCAATTCAACAACAAGTTTATTCAGTATTACCATTTTGTACAGGTGTTACCGATTAAAATAACAATAATAAACAGCTAAGTTTAAGGAAATACAGGTATGATGGAATAGTAGAATTAACTATGTTTCTTTCGTCTTTCAAATGCTTGAAAGATGAAATTAGCAGCTAGCCTGCTGATATGTGAATCAGTATTGTTAAAAAGAAAACAGACTTTATCATGGATATTGTAATGTGTAAATAATGTATTTTTTTAAATATTTTAATGTATTTCCTTGTGATTTGTAAAATTTCCGTTGGCTGAAAATTTCACTCCAAGATAGGTATAGTTATTGACGATTTCAATTCAAATCTCCCGGGGTTAAGATTCTTTGTGTATTGTATTTGTATTATAACGTTGCTGTCACATTTAAATGATACGGAAATTCCCAGGTCTGCTGTATGACCCGACCCCCCTTTATTTCAAGGTCTGGATCTGGCGCTGTGTCTGCCTCTTTCTGCATTTGCTTCGTCATTCACTACCTTCTTTTCACTGATTTGAGCAGTTATTTTTTGATCCACTCAGTTTGGTTGCAGTTTCTCCAGACTGTATTTTGATAAATTTCGTGACACAGCTCCTTTATATTAGTGGCAGGTACAAAACGCACGTCACAGGTCACAAGTCATTCAGGTGAGAGTACAGGTTACCGTGCTACAGTAAACGATAAACGTCACCCAAAGAGTTTCTCCTAGCCCTAATCACTATAAACAAGGTTTAAAGTGTCTGCGCGCAGGCTAGTTTGCGACGACCAGAAATTCCTCCGCGATAGCAGGCTATACGCTTGTATAAATACACGAAAACCCAAGGGCCTAGATTCTAGCCAAATTACATCATTGTCAGAAATCAAAAAAGTTATTTACAAGGCACGTCATTTCAATCATCGCCGAAAATAAACCGCATGCTCATCACAAGACCGTTTGTATACAGTGAAAGTTTACAACACCCGACCATCGCAATTTTGCTAATTAAGATTCTTATTTTTTTTCGACCACTCAGTAGTTCACTTGTTCCAAAGTAATCAGCGCTTTCATGCGATAGAATTCTTGGACCGACACGTTTCGGAAAAGCTCTAAATTTAATCTTTCCTAAGCTTTCTTTGAAAAACATGCGTGGTCTCCGCAAGGACGCCTGGCACAATGACCTCCGGCTACGACCAACGATTCCGGGGCGGGGGGTACTTACAGAAAAATTGGGTGGGGGTGTGCAGCACGCTTCATGTAACCCTTACCCTATTTCAGACCAAAATCTGTGATTTTTCCTACCCTATTTCAGACCTGATGAAAAATTTGAGACCCTATTTCAGACCTGAAGCCCAGTGGCCGAGCCCGGCCCGTGACAAGCTGTTACGGCGCGTACACGGTAGTTGGCGTCTTTTTGTAATCGCCAAATGATGAAGAAGTAACTAATTCTTCTAAAAATACATACAGTATGTTGCCCAGTATCCGGACGGTACCAGTATCTGGCATGGCACTAAAAACAAAAACTCAATTTTTGAGGCGCCCTTTAACGAAGTATTTCGAATGAAAGCTGAACATTTCAGCTCTAAGATGAAAGTTTTGGTGAGTTTAAAGCTTGCGAAACAGTCGCAGAAGACGCCGTTCTGTTCAGGTGAGTAAACTTTTCATGGCTAATATTTACGCTGTTTACTGCGCAGTATATACGTAAAACAATGCTATGTTAAGTTGTTTTGAACTATATCCTCGTTGGGTGCCCCTGAGGAGAAAGCGACTCGAAGCAATCGGATGATATTCAGGCTACAGGATGTCGCGAATTTAAAAGATGCAAGCACAGGCAGCCCAAACTCACGTTACTAATACCATAGGTGACGCCACAGGCGGCCCCTACGTAGTATGTGTCACTGAATGAATATATTAATATTCACATGGACAAATTAATGCGATGAGTCGTCGAAACTCCCATGGACTAAAATAGTCTAAAAGTCAAAATATAACAAAACAAAGCTAAGATACCTTCAACTGAACGTATCCTTGTCTTTCCTGGCCGGTTTAAGTGGCATTTTGTTGAGTTTTGAAATTGTAGGTACTATCCACTATAGAAGAATTAAAGGCTGGCTACAAAACAAACAGACCATCTCCACGCGCCTTCACACGAAGCGCTATAAATTCGAGAATAATCGACGAATCCACTCCAAATAACCATCGGCTAATCTGCAGGTAACGTCTGCTCCTGCCTCTGGCTCACTTGCTCCACAAAACCCATCGCAACTGCACAATAATTGCTCGCTCATCAACAACCACTGATGACCTTTACGCTTCGATATGACCGCAAACGACCAGGTGTAATACGCGACGTGAATATTCAAGCTTAGCGACCGCGTTCGCGCAACAATGCAGCACTTGCTATGGGAGGGATGGTACTATTGCTTCTAGGTCAATCGACTGACCGAAGGTTCGCTGCGTTAGTTTTGACCAGAAAACAAAAGGCGATCGCGGGACCGTCCGTAAGTTTTCAACAGGGCAACCCTGGTTTTCAAGTTCGAATTCCTCTAACGTTCGCTGTCTCAGATGCTGTCACATTGTTCGTCCAGCCGCTTGCATAGGTTCTTGACTCTACCAGACTTATTTGCTTAGATTAACAACATACTCCATAATATGTTGTCCAAACTGGTGAAGGAGGACGAGAATTTTCCGCCGAGGAAAAAGGCAAAATCTGGCCCCCCGCTATGCAGCTGAATAGAAGATACAGCTGAAGACATCGTAAAGTAAAATTTATGTGCGCGATATCTTTTTTTTATTATTATTATTATTATTATTATTATTATTATTATTCTCAAAACTCAGGGGCACCCAACGATGACTTCCCCTAAAAGCATTGAAAACACATTTACGGCTGTCCAGAGTACTTTTGACGAAAAATGCATTCTAAACAGCGCTTACATAAATTTAGTCAGGAGGGCTAAAAGCGAAGCTAATGATTTATAGTTTGCTCATACTAAATATAAAGTATATCGTGTAATGCTAAGCGGAGAAGGCAACGAGACAGGGCCACCCAACGACTGTTTCCTCAAATACTTTCAATTGAAAACACTTTTGTAGCTATTCATAAAGTACTTTTAGCTCTATAGAAATGCATTCTAAGTGGCGCTATAAAACTTGCATCTCAGTGTTCGGTCATTCTAGAGGAACTTGAGTCTTTTCCAAATTACGAGGAATTCAGAATTATTTTCCCGAAAATTTTAGATGCGATTTAACGTTTTACGAAGGAGGTAATTTTTCAGATACCTTCTTTCATCACATTTTTGAATCCGAAAATTTTAGGATTCCATTTTACTCTCTACGAAAAATAGCCTAACCCGGTGAGTGAAATGTGAAAAATTAAAAGTTGGATGCCCTTGACCAGAACTGTGAAAAACAACAATAGGTCTAATTGCAGCACATTTTCTTGTACATTTCCTTGCCGTTGATTTGCATGACTGCAACCTGAAACGTCCAGAAAACTTCCTGGTTTTCACTTTTTATGGAGAAAATGTGGTACACGTTCTTGTTCACTTTTTCCACTGCTGCTCATTTTTTTTAGCTCCGCTATAAGATTCGTATCTGTTCGGTGCTCCTAGGGCAAATTGGATCTTTTTAAAAATTATAAGCGCTTCAATATTATTTTCCCGATTGATTGACCTAGAAGCAATAGTACCATCCCTCCCATAGCAAGTGCTGCATTGTTGCGCGAACGCGGTCGCTAAGCTTGAATATTCACGTCGCGTATTACACCTGGTCGTTTGCGGTCATATCGAAGCGTAAAGGTCAACAGTGGTTGTTGATGAGCGAGCAATTATTGTGCAGTTGCGATGGGTTTTGTGGAGCAAGTGAGCCAGTGGCAGGAGCACACGTTACCTGCAGATTAGCCGATGGTTATTTGGAGCGGATTCGTCGATTATTCTCGAATTTATAGCGCTTCGTGTGAAGGCGCGTGGAGATGGTCTGTTTGTTTTGTAGCCAGCCTTTAATTCTTCTATAGTGGATAGTACCTACAATTTCAAAACTCAACAAAATGCCACTTAAACCGGCCAGGAAAGACAAGGATACGTTCAGTTGAAGGTATCTTAGCTTTGTTTTGTTATATTTTGACTTTTAGACTATTTTAGTCCATGGGAGTTTCGACGACTCATCGCATTAATTTGTCCATGTGGATATTAATATATTCATTCAGTGACACATACTACGTCTGGGCCGCCTGTGGTGACGCGTGACTTTCGAGAAACGAACCTTGGAGGAGTTGTGTAGTGCAATAAATCACGTTTTTCGACCATTTGCTTCCGGTTTACAAACCGCAAGGTCACTCCGGCTTCCGCTTTACAAACCGAAAGTAGCGATTTTATTCAATTTATTTCATTTTATTTATTCTGACTACATCGGAAGAGTCTAACGCGATCTTTCAAACTTTCTCGCCCACTTTTTGTTTGCCAACGATACAATGGGTTCTTGGGTTTCGACTCCGGAGAAGTCAGAGGAGCGAAAAATGACTGAAGAAGATCGCAACAGGAGGCGGAACTTAGAGAAGCAACTCCAGAAGATGCTAAACAGCTTGAAGGTGACTGCCACAACTCACTACATCCTGTCAGAGCATTACAGAACAAGGGATGTTTATCTTCAGCGCGTGTCTTACTTCACGGCATTATTTGGAACTTCAGGCAGCGTTGGATCGAAACTAGCGTGGAATGCCCTCGTTGCGAAGAGTCCTCGTCTCGCAGCCGCAGTGGCTGCCCTCTCGGTAACATCACTCATGTTCACAGTTGCAGTAAATATTCGGCCTCCCTTTCCAAACATGCCGGGTGGTCTTCATCAGCTACACTTTAAATCAGGGATTGAGTGTCAGTATCTTCAGAGGAAAGTGCAGTTTTTTGCTGATAGTGACGTGTGGTATTCGTCTGTAGCCTGGGAGACTCTTGCATCAAGGTATGAGAATTTGCTCAAGGAAAAGAAAGAGATAAATAGCAGAATACAAACGGAGGAATGGGCTCACCGTAAGGCCTTAAAAAGGATCGAGGAGCGAGAGAAAGAAAAAATGCAGAAAGAATGAGAACTAGAAGCCGGTAGATCAAACATTCTCGACTGACACTTTTTTATAAAGAGAGTGAAGCGGATATAAACTGCTTTAGACTATCGTCCTCGTCGGAGTATTTCGCTGGCTAGTTTCCCATCATCTGATCATCAACTCAGTGAATCGATAATAGTTAATTAGTTTAATTAGTAAATTTCCACTGCAGAAATACGAATTTATGGCCATTCCTGGATGAATATTGCGAGCGCAACATCACTGGAGCGTCCGGAGGCGCGCGCATGAAGACGACGAGGTGACCCTGGTGACGAGGCTGAGCGAAACCCGGAACTGCTGGTCGTGTCGTCGCTGGTCGCTTAAAAACCTTGCATCGTTGTGATAAAACAGAAAAAAAGGCCCTAGATATACATGGGTTCCTGGATCTCGAATCAGGGAGGAATGTCTGAAGAAGAACGTAAAAGGAGACAGAACTTGGAAGAACTACTTCATAAAATGAAATATAGCTTGAACGTGACAGCCTCTACTCACTATCTAGCAGCGGCCCATTACAGACAAGTTGATACCTACCTTCAGTACGCGTCTTACATTACAGGAGTGTTAGGGACATCAGGAAGTGTTGGTTCGAGACTGGCGTGGAATGTTCTTGCCACGAAGAGTCCTCGTCTCTCAGCCATATTTATAGCTTCCGCCTCCGTAACGGCGCTTTTATTCACAGTCGCTGTAAATGTCCGCCAGTTTCCTATTCCAAACTTGCCCAGTACGTTACAACAGTTAAACTTCAAAGCGGGGGTGGAATGTCAATACCTTGAAAGAAAAGTCCAGCTTTTTGCTGAAAGTGACGTTTGGAATTCGTCTATCGCCTGGGACACTCTTGCATCAAGGTATGAAAATTTGCTGAAGGAAAAGAAGGAGATTAATAGCAGAATACAAACGGAGGAGTGGGCTCACCGTAAGGCCTTGGAAAAGCGTAAGAAGCGCAAAAAAGAGATGAGGCAGGAAAAAAAAGAACTCCAAGATGAAATGTTGACAGGACCATAATATATAAACTATCTTATGGCCCCAAAACTGTTCAAATGTTTGTGGTTTGTAAATTATTTTAAAAGGTTTCTGATTAAAAATATGTCATCGTACTGCAAATCCACAAAATATTTCATTCAAATGATTACGGCGGTTTAATCTTAAGACAAAGTGGAACGCCGCTTTATGACGATAGTAATTATTTATAGCGTGACATAATGACCGTTCGGCTCCCGTAAAACTCAGTGTAAATACTAATATGCGACAGGCTAGCTCTTCATTCTTCGTTTTCACTGTCACGCAATAAACACGGCACAAAAAAATACATTTGAAACCGTCCAGTGGAAGAAGCCAAGAAAATGAAATGTTATAAAAGACTAATATATAAACAATTTGTCCAAATCTCAGGTCTTTGTGGCCCACAGTTTCTGAGTTAGTTGCCGAAACATTTCACGCACCTTTGTAGAGCTTTGTATGGAGACGCCATATTGGTGGACAGAAACTGTCCACCAATATGGCCGCCAGAAATCAACAAAAACATCTGGAGTTCACTTTTTCTATAAAAGCTCCTCCTTTTCACTTGAGAACTAGCATACTTGCGCATAAACATATCTTCTAATACTTGAAATGGTTAAACTGCTGAAAATCAAGCGGAGAGACTTTTTTCAAGGAGATAGCATTCCTATTTTGGTGTCACGCACTGTGAAAACTCGGAAGTTCAAACTGCTGTATTTTCGAAATGAAACATGCTTCGGGGCTGGAAACTTGTACAAAGATTTATTTCCTATTGATCTTCAACCTAGTGTAAAAAAGAATTCGTAAAACCTCGCTTTTTTGACTTTGCAATCTGATGATGTCACCATGAAAACCATCAATTGTATTGTCACTAAGTTCATTGCATATAACTTAGCTAAACAAGAAAACCTTTTGTTAAATTCGCTTATAATAGCAAAAAAAGATATCCACCGAGACTATAATTTCGTCGGTACCCATCGCAAGTCATTCGAATTCGCGCAAAACACAAAAATCGCCCATCCGCAAAATTATTAATCTCCCGCTAAAATTTAATGTCACACTGGCTTTCTATCTGTATTTTCAGCCATGTTTGACTGTATATTCTGATACCTTTTAACTGCTAGTTAAATCAGCAGATATTTCGCCGTCTCATTTTTTTTATCGCGTCAAAGGCCTGAAAAAACATACGCACGTCATAAAAGTGGTAGCACACAAGAGGCGAGGGGCAGCAGCTTGTAGACGCAATACTGACAAGATCTTCGGGGCACTTTTTAGATAGCACTAAATGAAGTAGAAGATCATCTTTTTTATTTTAAAGTTGTTAGTTTAGATCGGATCAAGAAAGGTCACGGGAAGGCGGTCACTGATCAGACAATGCCGCCTGGAAGTAAGATAGTAACAGTTATACTAAAGAGTTGTAAGGAAGATCATAACTATATTCAGACTGGAAGGGGGGGGGCTTTTGTGCCCCCCCCCCCTCCCCTCGCTTAAGTGTTAAAATAACTTCAAAACCGTTCAAGCTGGGACCAAAAAAACTTTTTCTAAAATAAATCTGGGAACATTTTAAAGTCATCGTGACGTATACCTGTAAGCCTAGTAAACAAGTGAGAAAGATGTTTATTCAGTAAGTGACACAGACAGCTTGGGAAAGAAAAATTCAAGTACGCCCAACAAGAGCCGAATGTCCAGAGCTCACTGAGCTAGAGGAGACTCATGGGAACTTAGGCCATGAAACTACGGTCATGTGATAAACATCCTCCATACTGCTAGGACTGGAATGTTGATATGTGCCTAATTATACACAAAGAAATGTGGTGGTGAGTGTGGTCAAAATGCATGCTTCTAACAGTTTAAGGCTTAATGACCCTAATGGTCTTCTTTCTTAGTACCCATTAATAAACCTTGTGAGGCTAATATTCTAATACAGTAGCATCACACATTGCACGCAACCTTTTAATATTATTGAAACAGTATTTTCCTTTTATCAATGTGAACTCACAATCTGAAATAATATTAATGATGCATGACTCTGTCATAACAAAACAAAACCATTATTATGTAGGCAGAGGGGAACACTCACTCTAGCAGGAGGTGGCCTCTTATGTTGTAGAGCCCATGCATTTGATGGCAATAGGAAGGGGATACTTTTCAATTTATGGTCTGGTCTGAATGGAGAGTTTGAGTGTGATTATTATTATTACCCATTTTATCACAGGCGGCCCAGACGTAGTATGTGTCACTGAATGAATATATTAATATCCACATGGACAAATTAATGCGATGAGTCGTCGAAACTCCCATGGACTAAAATAGTCTAAAAGTCAAAATATAACAAAACAAAGCTAAGATACCTTCAACTGAACGTATCCTTGTCTTTCCTGGCCGGTTTAAGTGGCATTTTGTTGAGTTTTGCAATTGTAGGTACTATCCACTATAGAAGAATTAAAGGCTGGCTACAAAACAAACAGACCATCTCCACGCGCCTTCACACGAAGCGCTATAAATTCGAGAATAATCGACGAATCCACTCCAAATAACCATCGGCTAATCTGCAGGTAACGTCTGCTCCTGCCTCTGGCTCACTTGCTCCACAAAACCCATCGCAACTGCACAATAATTGCTCGCTCATCAACAACCACTGTTGACCTTTACGCTTCGATACGACCGCAAACGACCAGGTGTAATACGCGACGTGAATATTCAAGCTTAGCGACCGCGTTCGCGCAACAATGCAGCACTTGCTATGGGAGGGATGGTACTATTGCTTCTAGGTCAATCAATCGGGAAAATAATATTGAAGCGCTTATAATTTTTAAAAAGATCCAATTTGCCCTAGGAGCACCGAACAGATACGAATCTTATAGCGGAGCTAAAAAAAATGAGCAGCAGTGGAAAAAGTGAACAAGAACGTGTACCACATTTTCTCCATAAAAAGTGAAAACCAGGAAGTTTTCTGGACGTTTCAGGTTGCAGTCATGCAAATCAACGGCAAGGAAATGTACAAGAAAATGTGCTGCAATTAGACCTATTGTTGTTTTTCACAGTTCTGGTCAAGGGCATCCAACTTTTAATTTTTCACATTTCACTCACCGGGTTAGGCTATTTTTCGTAGAGAGTAAAATGGAATCCTAAAATTTTCGGATTCAAAAATGTGATGAAAGAAGGTATCTGAAAAATTACCTCCTTCGTAAAACGTTAAATCGCATCTAAAATTTTCGGGAAAATAATTCTGAATTCCTCGTAATTTGGAAAAGACTCAAGTTCCTCTAGAATGACCGAACACTGAGATGCAAGTTTTATAGCGCCACTTAGAATGCATTTCTATAGAGCTAAAAGTACTTTATGAATAGCTACAAAAGTGTTTTCAATTGAAAGTATTTGAGGAAACAGTCGTTGGGTGGCCCTGTCTCGTTGCCTTCTCCGCTTAGCATTACACGATATACTTTATATTTAGTATGAGCAAACTATAAATCATTAGCTTCGCTTTTAGCCCTCCTGACTAAATTTATGTAAGCGCTGTTTAGAATGCATTTTTCGGTCAAAAGTACTCTGGACAGCCGTAAATGTGTTTTCAATGCTTTTAGGGGGAAGTCATCGTTGGGTGCCCCTGAGTTTTGAGAATAATAATAATAATAATAATAATAATAATAATAATAAAAAAAGATATCGCGCACATAAATTTTACTTTACGATGTCTTCAGCTGTATCTTCTATTCAGCTGCATAGCGGGGGCCAGATTTTGCCTTTTTCCTCGGCGGAAAATTCTCGTCCTCCTTCACCAGTTTGGACAACATATTATGGAGTATGTTGTTAATCTAAGCAAATAAGTCTGGTAGAGTCAAGAACCTATGCAAGCGGCTGGACGAACAATGTGACAGCATCTGAGACAGCGAACGTTAGAGGAATTCGAACTTGAAAACCAGGGTTGCCCTGTTGAAAACTTACGGACGGTCCCGCGATCGCCTTTTGTTTTCTGGTCAAAACTAACGCAGCGAACCTTCGGTCAGTCGATTGACCTAGAAGCAATAGTACCATCCCTCCCATAGCAAGTGCTGCATTGTTGCGCGAACGCGGTCGCTAAGCTTGAATATTCACGTCGCGTATTACACCTGGTCGTTTGCGGTCATATCGAAGCGTAAAGGTCATCAGTGGTTGTTGATGAGCGAGCAATTATTGTGCAGTTGCGATGGGTTTTGTGGAGCAAGTGAGCCAGAGGCAGGAGCAGACGTTACCTGCAGATTAGCCGATGGTTATTTGGAGTGGATTCGTCGATTATTCTCGAATTTATAGCGCTTCGTGTGAAGGCGCGTGGAGATGGTCTGTTTGTTTTGTAGCCAGCCTTTAATTCTTCTATAGTGGATAGTACCTACAATTTCAAAACTCAACAAAATGCCACTTAAACCGGCCAGGAAAGACAAGGATACGTTCAGTTGAAGGTATCTTAGCTTTGTTTTGTTATATTTTGACTTTTAGACTATTTTAGTCCATGGGAGTTTCGACGACTCATCGCATTAATTTGTCCATGTGAATATTAATATATTCATTCAGTGACACATACTACGTAGGGGCCGCCTGTGATTTTATTGTTGCTAACAGTAAATGGCTAAAAACTGTAGTGTTTACTGATTAGCCGCCAAATTTGAGCTTTGGTGAAAGATAAAGTGAAATTGACAGAGGTAAAAAGGTAAGGTGAACACGCACATAAGCCAAAGGCCCAAACAGCCAGAGCTTATCCTGGTTTCTTTAGCAAGAAGCATGCCTAGGAGTATTGTTAGTCCCCCCTGGATGAGATGACAGTCCATCACAGGGTTACCCCCAGCAGTATGTCGCCAGTATCCATTTCTACATCTGGGTGAAGAGAGACAAAACATGACAGAGCCAAAATGCTATACATGCATTTCATGTGTTATCAAGGAACCCCATACAAACCTTTTAAACATGCACTAACAATACAAGCAGTTTTTTTTTTTCGTTTTTGTTACCATTATAAATATTATGATTTTGAAGCATCTGTATAATAATATGGTTGGATGACAATATTCATATTAAATTAAATTAAGAAAATGTATGATTTTACAATTCAGTAAACTGAAATAAAAGTGAGACTGTTTACCTTTTCCTCTTTGCACACAAATCCTCTTCACTGAAATAAAATCCATCTTTTTTAAATAGATTTTCTAAAGTTCAATGTAATAAATTATTGTACAGATACAAAAATATATATCTTTGGTTAGCTGTCTTTCTTTCTAAGGTATAAAAAAGCTACTAGTCCTGGCAGCAATATGCCAACAAAAAATACAACAACTATAATTCCCTTCCATCCAACACCACAAGCAGTTCCAAGGCCTTTCTCCTGTTGTTGTTTTCTAAGTTTTATAGGATTTATGCAATTAACCGTCAACGTCCTTGCAACCTCATCAAGATTCTGCTTCCGCAAGGGTATGGATTTGCAAATCATTTTGAGGTCATTGTCCATGTGTTGTAAAAAGCTGTTTGGGGAGTCAAGTGCCGAGCGAATACTGACAGTTCTGACAAAATCTGCACTAGGTTCATCATAATCTGACTTATCATCATCACTATCAATATCTGCTGATGAAGATGGCCTTTTGTCAGGTAATATTAAAGGTGGAGGCCTTCGCTTCTTATCGGCAGTTTCTGTCAACAAACCATGTTGTTGAACTGGGATTTTGATAGTCTTTAATGCGTAGAAGTCTTGATCACTGTACAAGTTATTTGTTCTCTTTAATTCTGCTACCTGTCAGAAAAAAATAAGTTAGAAGTTGATAAGTTTTGAAAAAACTGCTTTATGTTTTCAAATTTTATCATTCTTTCAAACTACAGACTTCTTACCACATTTTTTTTTAAAGCTTTCATCCATAGGCTCGCCTTCATTACTTAAATGTAGAAGCAACAGGCGATAACTTGAAGATATCGAGAAAAATCGCATAGTTCATAAAAAAGTGCTCGATTCAAGTAAAGCAAACAATGATTTCTACATTTTTCCAAGGTCAAAGCTATTTCAGGATGATTTACTGCCAAACCTGTCATACAAGTAAGTGTGGTTGTTTGTGATTGTCCCGCAGCCATTTTTGAAAGGCACGTGCAGTGACTAGTAGTATAGCGCATTATGCAATAACCCACTAAGTGTCCTTTTTCTTTGTTTCGCAGTCATTTTTCATCCACTAAGAGGAAAACCTTTTATTCGAGTACATAGTTAGTTTTGGGCTTTATTGTGGTATATTGCTGTATATTTTGCCTGGTCTAGAAAAAAAGGGAGGCTTACTCAAATGGGAGCTCATTTGCAAAAAGTGTAAGCCTGTTTAAGAAGATGTAAAAATGTAATCTTAACTTTCACAACAAACACAGAATTCACGGAAAATTGAGACTTATTTAATAAAAAGATTATCTAAGTGCCTAGAAGAATTCTTCTACATAATTGAGTGTGAATTAAAATTACAGCATCTAACAATTTTATGGAAATCCGGATGAGTGGGTGGGGGTCTTTGAACTTGGAAATCCTGAGGGGAGGGGGGCCTCAAGCAGTTTTGGAAATCCAGGTGGAAGCGTGGGTCAAAAAAATCAATCACGCTCTCAACAAGAAAAAAACACAGCCAGGGCTGTCACTAAGATTTGTTGCCAGGTAAATACAAGTAGGCAGGGAATCAAACAGCTAAGGATTTCTTTTGGTTCTATTTTTCTTCTATTTTCCTATGAAAGTAGCTGGGGGAAGTCCCCAGCCCCCACCACTTAATGACAGCCCTGACAAGGATTGCAAGTAGTTACAGTAACTTTTTTCCCAATATTTTGACCAGTTAGGAACGAGATTTTTCCAAGCAAAAATTTCTTTGACCGGTCATCGTGTACTGTCGCCATCCAAAAAATATTTTGAGCACTACCTCTATAGATTTGACAGAAAGTAGAAAGGAATTTTTCAAAGACATGCCCGAAGAAAAGTCCAGAGTGATAATCATTCATTTTGATCAGATATTTACTGTCTAGAATCTTTCGTTTGTGAGGAGGGTCAAAAGTTTGGACTTTGTCTTAAGTACCTCATTTTCTCCCCTCCGCATGTGGCGATTTTCAACCGCACTCGCGAATTCTCTTTGAGGAAAATGAGTGACGCACTTGTAGTCTAACATTTATTACAAAAAACATAGAATTAAAGATCAAATGGTCATTAAAGACATTCGATCATTTTTCTATAATTTTTGTAGACTGAGAGATGAAATAAGTATAAAAGAAAGTATAAGTGTTATAAATCAATAACGTAATATAAACGTGAGCTTACCGTACAACCATACTGTAACGATAAACTCTGAAGGGAATCATTAGGCAAAATATCACGATCAATAGTTTCAGTCTTTTTATATTGCTGAGCCACCGATTTCGTCGACGCGTACGACTTCTTGTTTTTACTCCTCGGTCTCAGCTCTGTCATTTCCACGGCTGAGTCTTCAATGCCAACTTCATCGGCGCCATCATTCCCAAATATATAAACCCTTGAGGAGGGAACATTTTGTATTTCGGCTGACCGGGAGTCGTTTTCTGTTTGGCTTGTAACATAGGTTGTATATCCTCCTTTCTTCAAAAGAGACATGGCAAATACTCCTCATTTTATAGACAATGAAGCATATTTGTCCTTATAGTTGTTAAACCTTTCCGTTTGTGAATCGAAGATCGCAAGAAATTTTGTCAGAAATGCTACTCTTCGTCCGCCATTTTGAACTGAAGACACGTCACGACTTTCTTCTATATAAGGAGGTCGAAAAACGTGTTTCCCGTGATAAATACTCTGTCACGCAATCCGGCTTTTGTTCCGTTGTGGGCGCACGGTGCACGATCACGATAATAAAAATCTTTATATATCCCGTTATATCAGCAATTTTCAGAATTTTCCTAAACAAACCCCTAGAATCTAAAAGAAATTCTATGCAAAACAGAGATCCTACAATTCAGAAATGGATTCATATATATATATATATTTAACAATTATTCCACGAGGGCGCGTTGGATATGAGATGATAGATAGCCAACGAGGCGCATAGCGCCGAGTTGGCTATAATCATTTCATATCCAACAAGCCCGAGTGGAATAATTGTTTTATTAAAAACGCCCGCAAAATCTCGTTGAATCGCCCCGACTAGAACAAACCGGAAAAGACAAGGGACTTCCGCTATTCACATGTCACACGTCTATCAAAACTGTCAACGCGCGAACAGACTCGCCTAGACTGCATGAATGAAAAATCAAAACATTGTAGCGATGAACATTAGTTTTTTTAAAACTCATCGTGATTCTAGGATTTTACACAGCAGAACAGCTTAAAAAACCTGGCAGATAAGGTGAAGGAAAGGAATTTTTAAGTGACCGCCGTCGAAATTACTATGAATTTGGATTTTCCGTGCAGTTATAAAAGTAAGAACAACAGAGAAAAACTACCGGTATTACCTCGGTCGCTTGTTATGAAGTTGTTTGAAGCCACAAGCTGGTTTTGCTGAACGAGAAAAGAAGTTATACTGCCGCCTCGATTGCTCTAGTGAATGGCTGCATAGCCTGTATTTGTAGCTGGTTACTTGTGATTTATATTCTTGATGTCGGATAAACAAGCTGCAGTTGTCTATCGGTGAGTGACTCGATCGGCGAATGGCTTCGCGATCATGAAGAAACAACACTTGTCTTCTTTCGTAGCTGGTCAAGGTACTTTAGTTCCATGTGTTTTCATGTGTTTTTCGACAAACTTTCAAACAAGCTCTTGTGGTTTTTTTGTTTGTTTTTGTCTTTTTTTTCTTTCGTTGAAATTGCATTTCTAGTATTCTAAGAAGTGAATTAAAACGATTTGCTTCGGGCGCCGTTCTATCCTTCGCGAAAAAAAATCTCAGCTAGCTTCCAATTTTAAACTGACGCGTACACCGACCATATATGGAGAACATGGTATATTAGCTCATATACCATAACGGCTAAGCCAATCAAAATGCTAGAATTGCATTATCCAATGATTCAGTTTTTAATAAATATATTTATACAATGATGTAAATGCTACGCGCGCTGTGATTGGTCGTTGCCCATGGTCTATTAGAGTACAGATACATGAATGACGTCACGAGAAACTTGTTTTCTTTGTTTTGTTCAACATGGCACGCGGTTTTGAAAATGTTTGTGAGATTATTTCGGATTGAGGCAAGTGAAAGCTTCGGAAAAAGTTTAGCAGGAGCTATTTGCAAAGAAGAAAAATGGAGAAACGGAGACTAGCCTTTGTTTTTACGACATTTTGACGTCATCTGTGATCTATTACTGAACAGACGCACGGCAACATGGAATCTATTTGTTAAACTGAACACTGCTAGCTGAACTAGGCTCTTGTTGTTCAAAAGTTGACCAAAGTTGTATAGCATAATATCTACCGGATATAAAATCAATATCCAGTGAATATGAATTGGGGAGACCAACTGTGTTATCCAGCTGACTAAGATTTATCCTGGGTATCGACAAACTTTAAGATCGGGACCGGTTTAATGAAGGAAAAAACATACGCTTGTGTTACAATACTTCCCAATCGCTTTGTACTAGTTCAACAAAAAGCGATACTAACTCTGACGTCACCTATTAATATTGATGTGCCAACCAGAAGCGCATTGTTTCTTGTAACAAAAGATTCTTTTGCTTCACTCGTTACAAACTTGAATAGCAAAAACAATGTTTGTACAAAGCAGGAGTAAAAAGTGATGTCTTCTAAAGTGGGCAAAACCTATGAAAACTAAAAACATAGTAGCCTCCCCGCAGACGTCCTTTGGGGTTCGTTTGTCACGCATTCATTTCTCCCCCACGGAGAAATGAATGCGTGACAAACGAACCCCAAAGGACGTCTGCGGGGAGGCTAAAAACATAGAAGCATTCAAACATCTTTTTCTCAAAGGTCAACGCATCGTCAATTCGCTCAGGCCTCACAATGTCGTTTTTTTCGCCTTCGTTTTCACATCCGGGCTGACTTTCCTTTACTTTTGTGACCTTTAGTAAGAGATGAAAAATTAAAAGAAGCCGTGACTAGTGCCACTCGGTAGACAGGGAAGGGTATTTGGGCGCATGCCCAGTGGTTTTCACGAAAACGGAGTTTGAGTCAAGGGGTGCTCAATTCTCGCCGGCTCAGAAACCTTCATTTGAGTTATGGTATAATTATAGCATTTTTCTCCGTCTCTTGTTAGTGCGTTACTCGAACAAAAAGAAGAGAAAACACACTTGTCACGAGACAAATGGTTCAAAGTGATAAAGGAAGCGAGGTAATGATAACCCCAACAACAGATCGGCTGCAACGTGATAAAAAGACATTCAAAGAAAAACTTGTTGCAACGAGTAAAGGTTGATCAAAACTGACGGCACTTTATTTCTCTTCCATTTAACTTTTCCACGTTAGACTTTGGAAATAAGCCTATCATTAAACTTGACATCACTCAATCCAAGTGGTCGCTGGTTGGAGCTGGCACGTTCCATGTACTTGATTTATTTCCTACACAAAAGGAAAACAGTAACTAAGGAATTATTGACACGTTGGATCCAACAAAAAGCTTAAGGTCCGTTTCGGATGAATCCGGCCCGGTTCTCCAAATCACGACAGTGCTGTGAAGTCTCCCTGGAGTCTCTTGTTTTTGACAAGATCAGAGACAAACCTGAGCCGAAACCAGCCGACATTTTGCGACGTCACCACTGGTCTCCCCGCGAAATGACGAAAAAACCAGAGGCGGTGTCGGGAAATGTCAGCTGTTTCGGATAATAGGGAGCTTAAGCAACTAAGACGACGACCACAACGCCAACTTCAAAAAAACAATAGGTTTAAAGATCAAAACAACAGCTCTGCACGTGCATCACACTTTTTAGTACATTTCTTTGACGTCCACTGCACGACTACGACGTGAAACCTCCCAATCTGCCGTTTTACGGAGGACGTGAACATACGACGACGAATTTTCCTTCCTCTTTTCGAACCTGAATAAAGTCCTTAAGAATTCAAATCCAGGAAAAGTCGCCTGCTTTTGACATATTGAGCGGGTCCAAATAGACGCGATTAAGTTTGAAAGAGCGCAAATTCGATCATTTTTTTAACAACTTTTTCACTGCCATCGTCGTCGTCCCTGCTTAAGGTCCCTAATAACAGACAATCAAAAATGACCTTTGTAATGGGCTTACCGTAAAAGACGATAAATTCCAAAGAGAGAAAGTAAAATGCCAGCGGCAACAATAATGGAGTGGTTTCTAAATAAAAGAATAACAGCATGACTTTTACAGCAGGGAGCCCAACAGTGTGATCGCTTTTGATTTATTCACTTCTTTGGTACAGATTTAATCCAATCAGAAGCCAGCTGGAAACTCTCCTCGACTCTGAATGGTTAATGTCTGCGTAAAAGTAAAGGAGGTCACACTTTTGGGCTCCTTGCTGTATAAATCTTAACATACCGTAAAATTCCGAGTATAAGCCCCTCCATGTATAAGGCCCTGAAACTCGTAACGCAAAAAGCCTCTCGTTAAATCACCCCTCCGAATATAAGCGCCTGGGGGCTTGTACTTGGAAATTGCCCTCAAATTCAAAGTAAAACAAAGCAATAACGGTACAGTAACATATAAGTTTTTTCATTTAATTTTCCAAAAAACTATGACGTGTGCCAAATGATTGCATAATTGCAGTCAGAAAGTGTCACAGTACATATAAGAGGGTGTGAATGGGGTTAACCGACTAGCGACAAAGGGCGAAAAATATTACTGACTACCGACAAAACAAGTAAAAAATTACCGACTACCGACAGGAAATATTATTAACCGACTACCGACATGGGCTGACATTATCAATATTTGTTTTCAGAAAAAAGAGCATTTTGCATTTTTTTTCTGGCCGTTAGGAAATAACTTCTTAAAATTTATGACTCATCAGATGGTCTAGCAGAAAGAACGTCCTCTTTTGTTGATACAGGTACATTACTACAACCAATACCATAATTACAGAAACAACACCTTAAAGATGCTACCAACTTAATAAATTTTATTGAAAAGACAAAGGTGAAAAAACTGAACGTTTCTTGTTTCGGTCCGAGAAATGCTTAGATTAATCTTCAAAGAAAATTCTTTCCAGTTTAATGGAAAGCACTATCAGTAAAAACGCACGATACCGCGGTGAGCACACACAGCAGTTTTCTTTCCAAAATTTTCATGGCCGCATACATTGAAACACAAAGTTTAAGCCAAACCGTCTTCAAACCAGCTGTTTGAAAACGCTACATAAATGTCATTTTTTCCCTGTGGGACAAAAGTAAACCAGACATCGTAGATTTCTTCAAATTCACGGAACGACTAAACTTACACGTCACCCTACTATGAAATTCACCTGCTGAAATATCTGACACTGAGACAATCGTTTTAGACCCGGTTGGATACCAAGGCATAACATTCAACGAAAAATGAGAAAAAGCTATATCATTGACGTAAAGACGCATTTTAAACGAAAACCTTCCAGTATATAGATTTTCACCTCTTATCACTCACCAATTGTTAAAATGGATTTGACAAACAAGAAGCCTTGAGAATCCTACGAACAAACTCCTCGGAGGAAGTATTTCAGATTTCAAAAAGCGGTTGACGGAGAGAGGCTGGCCACACAATTTTGAAAGAAAAATTGCTATTAGAAGTAACACTCACAGAAGGAAAGCAGCGCTCCAGAAACAAAACAACAAGGAAGAAAAAGAAATATTGTGTT